TGATGTGTCAATGAAAAGGAAACATGTTTTTAGCCGACCACGGTTGGTTAGCGACTTTGGGCTCAAGTTATGTAGCGATACCCTGGCTCGGGTTAAGGAGGCGATATTGCGGCTCAAGTTATGTAGCGATACCCTGTCTCGAGTTAAGGAGGCGATATTGCGGCTCCAGTTATGTAGCGATACCCTGGCTCGGGTTAAGGAGGCGATATTGCGGCTCTAGTTATGTAGCGACACCCTAGCTCGGGTTAACGAGGCAATATTGTGGGCTCCTGTTATGTAGTGACAATTTGGTTCGAGTTACGTAGTACGGTTATGTTGTGGAATAATGGCACGGTCTTACAATGAATATACATGCTATAGGATATATATTATGGGATATATATACTATAGGATGAATAAAGTGTTTTTGGAAATGAAAGTGATTTGGAAAAGATGAATATGCATGCTATAGAATATATATTATGGGATATATATACTATAGTTTGAATATGGATTTTTGGAAATGAAAGTGATTTGAAAAGAAGAAATATGCATGCTATATAATATATATTATGGGATATATATACTATAGTGTGAATATGGATTTTTGGAAATGAAAGTGATTTGGAAAGAAGAAATATGCATGCTATAGAATATATATTATGGGATATATATACCATAGTGTGAATATGGATTTTTGGAAATGAAAGTGATTTGGAAAGAAGAAATATGCATGCTATATAATATATATTATGGGATATATATATACTATAGGATGAATAAGGGTTTTTGGAAATAAAAGTGAGATGGAAAACAATTAGTCACTGTTACTTTAGGTCATGTTTGATAAACTTGCCACACATGCATAGGTCTACACATTTCAATACTCATAAGTGATACTTGTTTAGATGAATAATCACTTATTTTAGAAGATATTGTACATTTTTTTTTTAAAATCAAACTTGCAATATATGAAACTTATTCTATAAATTATGGACAAAATATAAAATATTATTATCATTAAATAAAAGAATAAATAATGTCACTTTTTTTAAAATAAAGTACTTACATTTAATGTTGTATTATTATATATGGCATTCCAACTTTTTTAGACATATAAATTGTGAATTGAGGATCAATACATGTGTGGATTTTCTGATTAGGTATATGATTTGCGAATGACTTGCCCTACGTGGTATTGAGAATGACTTGCCCTATGTGGTATTGCGAATGACTTGCCCTACGTGGTATTGAGAATGACTTGCCCTATGTGGTATTGAGAATGACTTGACCTACGTGGTATTGAGAATGACTTACCCTACGTGGTATTGAGAATGACTTGCCCTATGTGGTATTGCGAATGACTTGCCCTATGTGGTATTGTGTATGACTTGCCCTATGTGGTATTGAATGGTATGTCTTGCCCCATATGGTAATGAAAAGGGTAAATATACATATGTGGAAGGTAATAATATGGTGTGGTATTGATGAGTAAGGTGATAAGGTATAGTAGGGATGAACGTATAGATAAAAGATGATGAAAGAGGTCGTATGATACGGGCAATATGATATGTCAAATTTATATTCGAACGCCAATTCGTTTATTTAAATGCTACTTGGATGAATATCATGTTTATGTGATTGTAGCAAGTATAAATTGAAATGCTAGTGGAGATTTTTGAGTAAACCGTGGTTATTTGAACGTATGCAATGAAATGATGTAGTTTCCATCGAGTGGATGTCGATCTAGTTATTACATTTTTGGGTGCGAGCTAGTACATCTTGGTAAACGATGAGTATGGAATCTCACTTCGATCTGGGTTCGAGAGTGTCGTGGCGAATCTGACCGTATAGTTTGATCGTTTTGAACGATTGTTGTGGTAATAGATAAGGGAGGTCTATTGTGATGGAGGAACTACTCGAGAATCTTTAGTTCGGTTATACTAATTTTCTCTTGGTTGTCTTAATGTTTGACTTGGATATTTGGGCTCTAGAAGAGTAGCCCATGATTCGGCTATGTGGTATCACTGTTACGTGGTATGTGCCCTTATTTGTCGTCTAAGTGATCTTAATTGTTTGGACGGTTAGATCCAAGTGTGGTCGAGTATATATTATGCCTAAAGGTTAGGCAATGATAGTATCTTCCCGAGAGTAACCTAACAAAATTTCGGGAACGAAATTTCTTGTTAGGGGGGAAGGATTGTAACACCTCAATTTTTGTTTTCGGATTGATTGGAAAACTTAGGGTGTTGAGGTGCATGCTTGACCATTCTCTCTTGGACGAGAGGGTCTCGCCTAAGCGAGGGACTCAACGTTTTAAGTTTGAGAAGTATATGAACCTCACCCAAGCGAAGAAGTGGTCGTTTGAGCGAAAGTGAAATCTGGAAAAGTTGTTAAATTCTAGATCGAGCTAGGATTTTCGCCCAAGCTAGAGGGGGGCCTTATCATATTGGCCGATTCTTGCCCGAGCGAGAAATCCATGCCCGGGCGAGAGCTCTCCAGTGTGAAATGTGAAAAAGTCGCGAAATTCTCGCCCAAGCGAGCCGTTCTCGCCCAGGCGAGAGCGTCAGAGCTATAAAAGTGAAAAAGGGGATCTAGAAACCCTAATCTTCATTTTCTTTCTCCCCCTTTCTCTCCCAACGGTGGCTCCACCCAAATGGACCATTTTTCCCTCCACTAAGCCTCAAAACTCATCAAAACCTTCCTCTTGCTTCATGGTGACACATTTCGAAAAGCTTGGAGGTGAAAATCAACAATGGAGGTTGGAGGAGATGAAGGGAGATGTAGCTCTTTTGCGGAGAAATGGAGCTTACGCAACTTAAGGTGAGGGAGAAGACCATTGTGGTCTTAGAGTATTTCATTAGAGTCATCTTCTCTGATTCCCCTCAAGAATCGGAGCACGTTAACGGATAGAAACTCATTTGAGTGTTTGTGGTCCATGTGAGAGTCTTTATGTTACATGAGGTTGTATTGGCCATAAAAGTGGAGATATATTTGTGGGCGTTTATTTAATTAAAACGCCATATGCTCATTTATGGTAATACACCGTCATGAAAGATGGTTCTAACGTTAATGTGTTATAGGATGAAGAATATGTTGTGTGTAGTTTGTTTATGATAATGGTGTGTTATGGATGTTTGATTTGTTATGAACATACATGGGTATGTTTGTAACAAGGATTGTGAGATGTGTTGTTTAATGGCAAAAAGTAGAAATGGTTATGTTGTGTGATAATGATTATGTGTGAGTTGTTTATTGTTATAAACATGTATGGGTGTGTTTGTAACAATGAATGTGTGATGAGTTGTGAATGTGTTAAAATGGATATGAGTATGTATATCAAAATGAGTATGTTGTAAGTTGATTGTTATAAACCTATATGGGTGTGTTTGTAACAATGAATGTGTGATGAGTTGTGAATGTGTTAAAATGGATATGAGTATGTTTATCAAAATGGGTATGTTGTAAGTGGTTGATTGTTATAAACATGTATGGGTGTGTTGTAACAATGAATGTGTGATGAGCTGTGAATGTGTTAAAATGGATAAATGTATGTTTGTGACAATGAAGGTGTTGTATGTTATTTATGGTGATAAAATAATGAGATGCCTTGTGTTGATTGTGTATGACATGGATGTGAGTGTAATGTGGAAACTCGACCAACCCGATGTGGTATGGGGATTACTCGACCTGCCCGATGTGGTATGGGGATTATTTGTACGGTGCGGAATCGTTGAACGAGATCAAGAGTAAATTACTACATAACGTGAAGGATGTGAAAAGTGTATACTCGGAATAAAAAATTATATGCATGCCATAGGATATATATTATGGGATATATATCCTATAGGGCGAATATGAATGATGAGAAATGAATATATTTGGATAAATAAATATGCACACTATAGAACACATATAGTATGGGATGTATGTGTACTATAGGGTGAATATGGATAATATGTGATAAATAAATATGCACACTATAGAACACATATAGTATGTGATGTATGTGTACTATAGGGTGAATATGGATAATATGTGATAAATAAATATGCGCACTATAGAACACATATAGTATGGGATGTATGTGTACTATAGGGTGAATATGGATAATATGTGATGAATAAGTATGCACACTATAGAACATATATAGTATGGGATATATGTGTACTATAGGGTGAATATGGATGTTATGTGTTGATTGAGATATGCTTATCATGATTGATGATTAGATGTGTGTGGTTTTAATACTTTAATGTCATTACTCCATGTAAATCCACGCTACGGTCGCCGTAGTTGGTTCTTACTCCCTCTGTCTTTCCTTGTATGTGTTGTATATTTGGATTCAGGTTGTGGAGGTAGCGCATTGGACGCTTGCGGAGAAGAGTACATGATAGAGTAGTGGATAATATGTAATTGATAGGTTATATGCTAAATATTTGTAATATGAAGAACATGTTAAAGTGGATTCATCTATAAACAACTTTCTTATAAGTGTATAATGAAGTGGATCTAATGTTTGTATTTAAGGTACTTTTGAGAAAGGGTAATTGTATAAAGAATGTATTTGAACGAAAGTGTAATGACATGCTTTTGAAATGAAAGGTGTTTGGAATATTTCCGTCTTGTAAATTTATAAACATATTCACTCAAGTTTCCAAACTGTTCGAGTAATGTCTTTCAAAAGTAATCACTGCACTTTCACGAATAAGGATTTTAAAAGAGAATTTTCGAGTTATGAAAATCGGGTCGTTACACAATTTGGCTTGGATTGCCTTACAAGTGTATATGACAATTTCTATAACTTGCAATCCAATAACAACTCTTTATACTTGAGATAATAATGCTCTTTAACAATATGAAAAACACTTAGAAGCAACTTCAAAATATCTTTGAAAGTTTTAGAGTAGGTTGCTTGAAAAGTGTAAGTAAAATCAGAAAGTGTGAAAGTTTTTGAGAGTTTAAAGTAAAAGTTTGTAATATAAGTTGTTGTATATTGTTGTTGTATGTTGTGAGAGTGTTTCAATGCCTTTATATAGGCTTTCAATCAACCACAATACCCTTAGGCATTAGTAGGTTACGTTTGGAATGAAAAGCAATCAGTTTGGAGTGAAACCTCTTCACTTAAAATCTGAAAGACTGATGCAACAGCTCTCAGTAATCGATTACCCAACAATCTTGTTAACAGCTTTTCGAAAATTCACACAGTGTAATCGATTACTGGATTTGAGTAATCGATTACTCAACAACACTGTTTAACAGCTTTGTGAATTTGCCTTAGTGTAATCGATTACCCTGTTTTCTAAAAGTGGTAATCTGTTACTCCAAAGTCTGTAATGGATTACTCGTAGCTGTTAGAGGTTTGAAAACTCTTTTCTCACTCATGTAACTTGTTACTCAAGTATGGTAAACCGTTACATGTTGTTTTTGAAAATTACTTTTATTCACACTTAGTTTTTCCTTATTTTCTTAAAAACAATTTTGAGCATTATTAACTAAGTAAATAAAGGAGTTGTAAGGATAGAAGTACCTAAAGACTTAGACTCTAAATCTTGAAGTTTTATCTTCGATAGTCTTTGTCGGTCTTCTTCCTTTCTTCTTTTTGTGATATTGGTATCTTCATCAAAACCGTGTCAATGTTAGGAGCAAGATCTTCTTCACATATGTTATATAGTTTTATGTATACAGTTGATGGTTTATTATTCTGTTTTGAACTTGTGTATTGTAACTATTGTGTTGCAATTAAAGACTTTGGATTGATCTCACTAAAGAATAAAGAAGGACTAGTTAGAAATAGACATGTTTAAGATCACATTGCATGAAATTTTCATGTCACTCGTCCACATTTGATTTATGTTATTCAGTATATTAATATGGTGATCATTGTGGTCGAGTCACGCTTGAATTGGATGAAGGCAGTGGTGGTTCTATAGTTGATATATAATATTGATCAAATTGTATTAAGGAAAAGTCTAAATATAAATAGCATACAAATGTCGCCTAAAGAATATTTGATATAATTGTTTTAAGAAAAAAATGAAGTCCGAGTGAGAGATTGTTAGAAATTCATAATTTATATTTAAGGTGAACATCATATATTTAATACAATTATATCGGCTATTTATGTTGAGTTACAAAATAAATGATCTAATTTTATGACAACCCGTAAGACTTCTGAAACTGATAATGAATATGGACTTAATGATTGGATACCCAAAACTGTTGACCCATAGGGGATACTCAGAACCATATAAGTTAACGCATAAGGAAATGTTATGGTCCCCAAGATACTAAATCATAAATAGTTTTCACTTATCCCAATCAGAAATAAAACGAAGGTCCCAACAAGAATTTAGCTATAACTTTGTATCATTGTTTTACATAATGTGTAAGAATCATGAAATTCAAAATCCATTGGATTTCACTTATTAAAATGAATTCTAACTGTCTCCACTATGCATCAAAGCTAGAGAAAATATACAACCATTTGCTATTTCAGCTGTGTCATGATGCTTTTCTTCCACTTTCATGAACAGCAATTAGTCATTTGCATTGCTCATAATGTTGTCATTTTCTACTTACTCAAATGGTGTTTACTAATGATATTTAGGAAATACATAGGAACCTTTCTATGATTTTTTTCATTAATTGAGAAACAATTGCATGTTTTCCTTTATTTTTAATGAAAAAAATATAATTTTATTATAATTAAAAGGATATATATGTCATTAAATTTTGCATTTTCTTTTAGTTTTTGAATCATTTATCTCTCCATTATGGAGAGGATCCTAACTCCTTTCTAACATATACATAATATACCAAATAGGTCTCTTAACCCTTTCTAATTTTTTTATTAATTTTATTAAAGATTTACTTTACAAAAGACAAATAGAGGCAAAAGTAAAAAAGAAAGAAATACAAGAAGATGAAATTCAAGGGGAAGGAGAGGTTAAGACAAATTCAGAATCTTGATCAACTTCAAATGAATTTCTTAAGAAAGAAATTCTACACACAAGATCTTCTTGATTGAGGTTCATTCATTCAGATCTGAGTTGCAGCTATATATAAACTATAGGATAAAATAAATTAATATTTTGTGCTATTCTTTTATGGCATACCTTTTGTTTTCTAATTTCCTTTGTTGTTTGAACTTTTCATCCAATCTTTGTTTAGCTTCTTTGGCTGCTCCTACTATATTTTCATCTGGGTGTGTCTGGTTAAACATCCTTCTTTGCTGTGTATTCAAAATCTAAAACTTTCATTATTATTGAATAACATGTAAAAGCTTAGAAAGTTAGAAACAAAAAGGAAAATATATATATAATTTGTACTAACCAATGAAGAAAATGAAGGAAGAAGTGAATCATAGTTTTTTGCATATAAACAAAAAGAAGGGCGTCTTGAAGAATTATGTGGAGACAAAGAAGGTGAATCTAAACATAATCCACTATTATGGAACCTTCTTCTTCTAGCAGATTCAACTCCAGGAAGCATTCCAGCCATAGTTTATGTTTCTGTTCTAAGAAATTAAACACTAAAGTTCTTAAGATATGATATTTAGTAAAGGGAATTGGTTCTATATATTATAGTTTGTACTGTTTATGATAGTGCTTTGGACACAGATGAATGAAAAAGAAATGGCTCAACTACTTACCCCAAAAGAATTTGGGGATAAGCTTGAATAAGAAATAGTTGATAGAATTTGAAAACGACTTTGATATCTATTTTTAACTAAATGAGTGGTTGGACCGCTTTGAATCGAAGAAATTTCGGTTCGACCGTGCTAAACCGGAATAACTCGGGAAGTGAACTGGTCGGTTCAGTTAAAATTTAAAAAATGGAACATTACTCTAATATTTTGCTTTACTTCGGTCCAAAAAAGATTGAGAGATGTTACTTCAATATAGTTATATAAAATTATTAATTTATAAAATTTTACATTTATATATAATTATATATTTATTAATAAAAAATATTAATTATATTTAAAATCACTTTGACCAGACGGTTTAAATGTTTGAATCAGTTAAACATAATACACAACATCTTCCCTCGAATTCCACAACTTTAATAGTAGAAAAAAATAACGAATTCCACAACATTAATAGTAGAAAAAAGACATGATTGAAGGTAAACTTTGGTGAGGTGGATAAATTAGGAATAGTCTTGTTACTTTGTTATTTGTATATAGCAAAATGGAATAACAATTAATAAGGTTCACTTAGGTAGTTATGTGTTTCCATTTAAATAAAATTCATGTTCAAATATTATATATAAAAAATATTCTCTAAAATAATTAATTAACTAGAGAGAGAGAAAATGAACTAGAAAATAAAGTTTAAAGGAAAATAATGTGATATTTAAATAGTTGCTTACATTAACCACACACTATCGTCACTAGAGAAAGAAAAGAATCAATTGTTCATTTTAAATTCATTTAGAAGATGAGATCTAAGAGGGGAAAAATGATATTAGAGGAATCATACTGTCCCAAAAGAAGAGGAATACTTAATACATATGCTGGCCACTTTTCAAGGCCATAATAACAACACTTGTTATTACCATTTTCATTATCCACTTACATTGGTATAAATATTCAGTGTGAACTTTGGGTATAATTATACAGTGTGAATACTTTGGGAAAATCGCTTTATTTAATTAATTAAAACATGAGTGGGATCCACTTACTGAAAGAATAACTTTTTTAAACTTATTTCATATCTTAACTATCAATTGTAGGGAAATCTAATGGTTTAGATCTACCTCTAATTCAAACCATTGGAATTCTGTAGAATTGATGACTAAAATATAAAGTAACTTACTCTTACAAGAAAATGGATCTGTAAAAAAATGGATCTCTAGATGAAGGAGAGAGAGAGGAAATTTATTTTCATGAAAAAGTGGAGAGGGCTTGTGCACACTAAAGCAAGAGATTTTTTTGGTTTGATTTTTAAATTTATGTAAACACAAGAAAATACTATAGGCAATACATCATTTTTTTAATAAGTAAAGTTTTCGATGGAAAATGACAAAAGAAATTATGTATCTATCAAGATTTGAAATAAATATTCATGTTTTATGTCAGATAATTTTACCAATCACGTGACTTATATTTTTGGATCGACATGAAAGGCGTGTTGTAAAATAAGTTTCACATTGCTTACTTTATTGTCTCGAGAGTAGTTTAAATATTTGTTGGTCTACTTCTCTCATTGACAATTGGTTTTGAGAAGAACCTTAACATGATATCAGAGTTAGAGCTCAACTTCTTTCCGGTTGTCATGGGCCAAAAGATATCATTTAATTATGAGTCAAATGTAACCATTCGTCTAGAATGAGTATTTTGGAAAGTAAGTTAACAAGGTGTATGGCATACCCCTTTAATCTATATTTTTAGTTTAGTTGAACTATGGAAACGACTATTTTGAGTATTTTCAATTAAATATTTGGACCTTTTTTTCATAAAATAGTTTAAAAGAGACTTGAATATATTGGATTATATTCATGCTTCATGAAATAGTTTTTTATATAGAGACGTGGCTCTATATACATCAGATAAATATATTTCATTTGCAATTTTTTTTAGACACACGTAAATATAACAGAACTAATTACATGTATCATTTTAGAAAACTTTATGATAAAATAAGGTAAAATATGAAAGAATAACAAGTTCATCCATAATAATAAAAATGATACTCTCTTTAATTGCATAAATTTTATTATACACTTTGGTATAATTTTATTTCAAGATTCTAGTTTCTTGGAACACATTATCTGTCTCAAAATATGTATCATTCTATATATCTATTAGTCAAAAATATAAAATTAATATTATTTAATTCATATTTTATTTTTTGACTAATGAAAAATAGGAGTACATGAAATAATCCAAAGTTTCACACAAAAGATATAGCTCCATCCTTTTTATCTTTTAGGATGAGGATGAATAGTGAATAGATCCAAAAAGTTTCAAATTAATTATATATATATAGTGTAATAATAAAAAATATATAAATAATTATGACATGTATATGAAAGTTTGTTACTATAACTTAACCATTAAAATTTATTATGAAATAATAATAAAATATATTATATATAATCTCAAATTAATAAAAATCTATAATATATAAAATATTTAATTAAAGAAATAAATTTATGAATATACAATTATGAGTAATGTTATATCCCCTACTAATCTTCCTACTCACAAAAAAGTGACATATATCACAAAGTGATACTTTATTTATTAGTGTTTAGTTTACAAGTGACATATATCATTTTCCTGTTGGTAGAATGATTAGTATGAAGATATATCATTTCCCTACAATTATTTGGGAGATGATTATCATAATATTAATATCCATACCCATCTACAAATTATTGTTACTAGATATTCATTGTGTGTATTTATGTGAGTATTTATCACTTTGAATATTTTTCTCATCTCTATGGTGGCTTTCCAGGAAGGTTCAATTCCTTACTAGATAACTACCAGGAACGTGTATGGAACCTTCCTCCTTTGACTGTGTACTCTTTTCTTTTTC